CAAACTATGTTAAAAACTCACGTATTTTTTATTATCTTTAGGATTTTATGGAAGCGATAAATAAAATTAATAAGTGATGAATATATAAGACTTCGTGAAAAGTTATTTGTACACACACGGGGCCCCGGGAATCTTTCCCGTTCACCCACCTCTCTCGGTGGCCATATATATATATATATATATATATATATATATATATATATATATATATATATATATATATATATATATATATATATATATATATATATATATATATATAATTTTTTTCATTAAAAGGTTGTTGAAACGTTATCAAAAAAAAATAAATAAACAACGGAGTTTGATGAAAGACACAATATTGTTTGTGTCGTAAACATAATGCAACTTTTTCAATAACTTATTTCATCATTTCGTTATTAATACTAATAACAATAACAATAAAATAATTATAACAATGATAAAAATAATATAGTACTACATAGTATAATAATGATAATATTATATACAACCACAGTTTCAAATATTTAAATTACATACCATTGAACTGTTCATTCTATTCATTATTGTGCGAAGTAACAACACTCACAAGATGTTGTTTTTCTTTAACAGCCATGACGACAGCTTTTGTACAAGTTAAAATCTCTAAAAAATTAAAATCTCTAAAAACTTTTAATAAAGTTTGAAATCTCTAAAATGTTTAAATCAAAAAAATATAAAACCTCTTAAAAATGGAGTATGAATAAAACCTTTAAAAATTCCGGAATGTTGCAAATATCTAAAACCTCGTTTATTTTTACGATTATTTTTACAAGTTTTAAAATCTTTGATATTAGCTCCCATGCCCCTTTAACCAGCTGCTAAATTGTTTTTATTTATTAACACAAGATTTTTAATTGTCCAAACACAAACATGATATAAAAGTTATGAAAACAGCTCATTAAGTGTTTGTTATCTTAGAATTATATTAAGCAGCTTAAAGTCAGTTTATATGATATTTCTGGTAAACCAACTTTTTACCATATTTGTTTACAAGTCTATGCTTTTTTCGATGCTCGGAACAATTTCAATTAGTACGGTTTTATTTAGAGATGTCACTTTTGCTTTAATACTTTTTTTTTTTTGTTAAGCGAAATCTATAATCAAATAATAAATAATGGTTGACATAGCGCTATACCAGCCTATATAACTATGCTGAAATTATTATTATTTCATTTATTCAACACCCAATGTAATTTACAAGGTCAAAAAGAAAAATAAGAAAGTTATTTCTTGTGATTTTCACTTTGTTTAAAAATTCCTCTTTGCTCTTTCGCACTCCAGCACTCTATTGCATGTTTCAAAGTTTGTTTAACTTCGGAGGGAATTTCACTTTTAGAAAGTGCTATTTTTATCTTTTTATTTTGAATTAAGTTTTGAAAATTTAGCATCCGAAAACGGCATAAGTCCTGAATATCGCCAACAAACGAATGTTTAAATAAGGGGTGTTTCAGTTGTGAAAAGATAATGCCTGAAGTTGTTTTATTATTAAGAAGACGAAGAAACAAGTTTAATTTATTTTGTTGAATACTTTTTGAAATTTCCTGGATTTTAAATAGCGAATTTGTATAGTTCTTACTGTGTTTTGAAACATTTAAAAGCGATTTTAGTGCACTCTTTCCAATTACATCTAGCTTTTTCATCAAAGCAGAATTATTTTCACATATCTCCATACCATAAGTTAAGGTAGGGACTGCTAATAATTTATATATATAGGAAATAGAACTTGGATGGGCAAATCGGATTCCAGATTGAATAAGAGTTTGAACAACAGCTCTAAAGTTTGAAATTTTTTCATTAACATTTGTATTAATGAAAAATAAAATGAAATAATCGCATAAAAAGTTTAAAAGTTTTTAACAATAGTAGCAACACCGAACGAAAAAAGTAATTGGTGCCCAGTGCACTTAAAAATTTTAAGTATAATATACTGGGCCGTTCCGAGGGGGAAGTGGGTAGGTAAAAGCTTAAGCTTAAGGAGGTGTCTAGCTCCGCTAAAAAAATTTTTATTCAAAAATTAGTTGACAAATTTGGATCCTTAGTTGGCAGTCGGCAAATGTCAGCCAACAAGGACCTTTTTTTTTCTTTTTTAAGGCCTTAGTCGGCAAAATTTTAATTGGCCATAGTCGGCAAACGCCTTTTTTTTCTTTAATTTGATTTAGGTGTCCCAAGTCTTCACTGTCTTATCACAGAGCACCCCGGATGAAAATTTAATGGGAAATTCACGCCTCCTTCCTAAATGATGTCGTAAAACTTGCCCAGAGTTGGGGTTTGAACCACGGATCCTTTGTTTCTAAGGCAAGTGGGCTACCACTGCGCCACGGTTGCTCCTTAAGTTTAGATTGAAGCGGGTCTCGAATCATAGACATACCGTTCACGAAGTTAACGCCTTATCTAAATTACCTTATCTAAATTATCTAAACGTGCTTGTTTCTTTGTGACTTTATAATTCTTTTGATAGTATATTTTTGTATGCAAAGAAATACTATATAAATCATACTTTAATACAAACTCATTTTTTCAATTTTATTGTATAGGCTAGTTTGGCGTTTAGCCTTCCATCATAAACAATTGGTTTGAAAAATAAATTGTATTATTTCTACTTTTATTGTGATTAAAAGTTAACTAAAACATCATTTTTTATAGTAGCTTAAAATCTTTGATAGACCTATTTTAAAGCTACAACTACCACCACTATCAAACACTTTAACCTAAAAAATGAACTTTAAACATCTTAAAGTTTGTATACCATACAATGTATACATTGTATGATATACAATGTTTTGGAAACAAAAAAACTTGATTGTATAACTTTTTTTATCGTCATCGTATAGATTAAATTTTTCTTTGGTCAAATGTTTTTCATACAAATTCAGAAATATGAAATTAAAAAATAAAAGATAGATTACTAAATTCAACAAGATTGAATGAATTTTTATTACTAAATCCAACAAAACTGAATGAGTTTTTAGCTTGTAATGCACACACACTGAATTGTCTGTAATGCGCATACACTGAATTGCCCAAAAACTACACTGTAATGTAATTGTGCATTACATGTATGTGCATTACATAAACTTTAATGCACATACATCGAATTGCCCAAGAATTGTCTCACTGGAACATAATTATTGATTGAACTACGTCACACAACTTCCGTAAATGCATTCAGTGTCTTTTTTGCCTTTAAAATTGTTTATTGGTTTGACAAAGAAATAGCAGTTTGAAGTAAATCATCTTTTATTTTCTGTGTGTGAGAATATTAGGTATAACCGGATTTAATGTAACCAATTGTAATCAACCAATTCTTCTAACATGGTATCCGAAGAAAATAAAGTCAGATTTGATACTACTCTGCTTATACTTAGATTTGCGTTTCATCTTCATAATTGTTACGCTTTATTGTTTGTAGTTATTGGATTTCATTTTCATAACTGCTACGCTTCATCGTTCATAATTGTTGCGTTCCATCATTCATGTCGTCTGCATGTTTCATAATTCATAATTTTTGCGTTCATAATAATTATGTTGCGTTTCATCTTAATAATTGTTTGCATTTCATATATATATATATATATATATATATATATATATATATATATATATATATATATATATATATATATATATATATATATATATATATATATATATATATATATATATATATATATATATATATATATATATATATATATATATATATATATATAGTATGAGAGAGAGAGAGAGAGAGAGAGAGAGAGAGAAAGAGAGAGAGAAAGAGAGGGGAAAGGGCTAATTACGATTTTGCCTACTTAAAAAAAAAGTCCTTGTTTTTTGAAATTTTCCGACTGACTTGCCAATTCACCGACTAAATGAACAAAAAATTATTGATGGGGGTGGGGTGGGATGGGGTGGTGTGGGTGGGATGGGGGGTGTCATATATATCTGATAATATAAATACGCTAATTTAATAGTAGTAGTTAATAGTCGACTTGCGTCATTTTATTTTAAAGTAGTTTCTAGGCTTTTCTATACGCGGTTTTTTTTAAATTTTATTTACTACTAGTTGAAATAAATATTCGTATAAAATTAATTACATTTTTAATATGTTTATTAGACATGTTTCGAACTACATAGTTCATTATCAGAAAAATTTACAAAAACGATTAAAAAGCCAATTTTTATATGGGTTACAAAATCAATTACTCTATTATAAAATCTATTACAAGGGTTATAAAAACAATTAAAATACAATATTAAAATACTTCAGTCTCAGGACTCTCTACAAAAATACAAAAGGTTTTAAGTAGTTAAAAAAAAGTTATAGCATCAACGTCAAATAATAACCAATAAAAAAAACAAAAAAACAACCATTAGTAAAACCAACCAATCATAATAATAAAAAATACTTTTTAAATAGTTTAAGAACTCTATGTTTAACTTGTTATTTAAACCGGCCTTTGTCATTTTATTTGTTAGCTTTTCTTAACTTCTAATTCATACTCGCCTTGAGAAGAATCCAAAAAGCAGACAATGCTGTCCTTTGACACTTAATACTACTCAATAATTTAACACTATATGTTATTCATTAAACAAAAATGTATACATTTTGTTATCTTCCGTGAAATGTTCATTGATGCGTTGTGAAAGGTTTAGGACAGTTCGTCCTATAAAGCAAATATAACAGTTAGCACATTTGAACTTGTAAACAATGTTAGAGCTATTATTTCATGAAAGTGAATCTTTTAATGAGAAATACTTCCTAATTTTAAGAGAAGAAAATTGTAATTTGATAATTAAATCTTTTTTACATAACTGTTTTGTTAAATGGTTAATTTTGTTTTGAATATTTCTAGAACAATCACCTATATACGGCAACCGAAAATATTCGTAATTAAAGAATTCCTAATTGTTAAATTCAAGTGTGCAAAATTTTCTATTTAAATAGTAGAAACATTTATCACTAATATGTATATATTTATTTTATTTTTTTTAAGAAATTGCAGTGGAGTTCATGAAGAAGAACAGACTTGTGCTTCACTTTTCCCGTGCTCTGCATGGAATGCTTGGCAGCAGTGGTCACAATGTTCGCATTCTTGCGATTTAGGATACAGAAAAAGGAAGAGGTTGTGCATTAATCTGAACGCTATTAACTTAAAATGTATAGAAGAAGGTGTTAACTTAATAGAAGAAAAGAATGAAGAAATTGAGGAATGTAAACTACCTAAATGTTTTGTAGCGAAATGGGGAACATGGGGAAATTGGTCAGAGTGTACATCTCGAGGTAGAGAGTTAAGAACGCGTCAATGTTTAGAAGAAAATGATTTTAGTCAATGTGAAGGTAAGAAAATATATTTTAGGTGCGAAGTCAATTTTTGAAGAGCAATTTTTGGGGTTCCTTATTTTGACCCGGGTAAAACATATAATTCTGTAATACGGGTAACTAAACTCAAAATCAATTTATTCTACATAAATGATAACGTATAACAATTTAATAGTTTTTAGAGGACCAAGCCGATCAACTTTTTTTAAAAAAATTTCAACAATTGTCTGAAAAATAAAATGCATTTACATAAAATCAACAGTAAAAATTTGTACTATTATTCTATGTTGCTGAAAAGTTTTTTTTCAGATTATTTTTTTAGCTTTAATAATAATCTTGCAAATTGCTTTCAAGGCAAGAAAAAATGATAAAAAAAGTAGTTTGTTGATAAAATATTTTACTTTTAAATTAAATTATTTCAATTGAACTTTTATTTAAGGGCCAGAAAAAGAAAAGCGACCTTGTAAGTTTGAAAAAGTAGAGAGCAAACAAAAAGAAATGGTAATTACGAAGAAAACAACAATTTGTGTACCAAGATACAGCATTCCAAATGGGAAAGAAATCGTTAAAACAATTCCAAACGGAATAAAAGCTTTTTATTCATGCAACAAATATTACAGATTAAAAGGTTTGCTGTTATGTTCATTATTTATAAATACAATTATAAATTAAATGGTTTGTAAACATTTTAATTATTTACAAACATAATTAGTGAGTGTTGCATTTACAAAGGTAAAGATCTCTCTATTGCATAAAAATGTAGTAAAAACTTTTAAAGCAGAAAAGTTCCTTTATGTTTTTAAAAATAAAAAAAATTGGATATAAAATAATATTGGTAAAACCTGCTATACTTTGTCGATTGTATGATGACAGAGCCTGTTTATCAACGTGCTTGTGAATAACCTCCTTTCCTTTTTCCAACATTAGTAATATCTAAATAAATCAATTTCAAGTCAAAGCTGCTTATGTTTTGTTTGTATTGACTGTTTATATAAATATTAAATTAAAAAAAAAAATCATTTTTAAATATTATTTAAAAAAAAATCAAAACATTTCATCTCAAGCGACCAAAAATAATGTTAAACAACCAGAATAAAAAGGTATGCTTACGTGACAAACGCGTGAATCGTGCTTCAAAACATATATTCTATATAAAAATGTTTAAATAACTATTTGTTAACCGTAGCGGAAATAGTTTATTTGAAAAAATAAAATGTTTATGAGAATTTGTTTGTTTTTAATCATTTTCTGAGAGGATTTTCTGAGAGATTTTCTGAGATATTACACTGAAAATTGAGAGGTTTTAAATTCTCCTATGTCGCCATTTTTAAATGATAAATTTTTCCGTTGACATTTTTTTGATATACTTCAAAAAAATTTTTAAAATACTTCAAAAAAATTTTCTTTTTTATTTCATATTTAGTAGAGTAAGACCCAATTACCTTAATTTTTTGTAAAACCTTATTTTACACGAGTATCAATATAACAAAATTTAAAGTTTGCGCAATCTCCAAAAGTATTTATCTGGAACACCAATAATCCATGCCCGTTTCACCAATAATCCATAAACACCAAATAACCAATACAATCCATAAACACCAAATAACCAATACAATCCATAAAAACCAAATAAACACCAATAATCCATGCCCTGGAACACCAATAATCCATGCCCGCCTGGAACACCAATAATCCATGCCCACCAAAACCTGCCCGTTTTACCCCCTTTTTTTTTGAAAGACATTAACATAATATTTTCAAAATTTAGGTTATAATTGTAACAAGGTGGTTTGAAAAATGCAATCGCTTCATGTCTTTTTTTTTCAAATACGTTTTTAGTACAATCTCTGTAGATATAGTTTAACTGAATAACAATAATTTTATGCGTTACTATAGTAACGCATAAATAGTAATAGTTTTTACTAAACAACAACAACAACAAAATTTTAACTCATTAGAGTTGAAACCATAGTAGTTTTTCTAAAAAAAAAAAATCCTGCTTAAAAAAAAATTACATATAATTACATATAAGGATAAATAAGAGTGAGAAAATAACTATGGTAAGATGTAACTGACAATTTTGTAATGGATTCGAAATATGGTTTCCAGGAGAGATTCCCATAAGAGGTTCTGATTTTTTGAAAACTTTTAAAATAATAATAATAATAATTAAATCAAATTATTTTATCTAAATGAAAAGTAAGGCGTTTCATGTAAAAAACATAACATATTTAAAGTGTAAAAATTTTTAATATAAATTGTCACGTATTTGGTACGTATATATATATATATATATATATATATATATATATATATATATATATATATATATATATATATATATATATATATATATATATATATATATATATATTAGAAAAAATAGTGTATTAGAAAAAATGTAATTGTGGTTAATATGCAAAAATAATTTTGTCTAATCAACAACTTTGTCATTTTCGTAACGTTTTTAAATGATAATTCTTATCATTCAACACAAATTTTAAATTTTAGCAAGTACAACAACAAAAATTCAAAAAATTAAATTAATGTAATTAAATGATAGAAAAAAGTAAATTAACTAAATCATTTTATCACCATTTTTCTAATTAATAAATGAGACATTTTTTAGAGATTTATTTTAAAGTTTTTGCTTCAATAACTTTTATAGCCTCATACACTCATCAAACGCAGTAAGTTTAGGTTGAAAATTTGATTAAATTTTGAATATTTTAACTGCATAATATTAAGGATCGATAAAGAGACTGATCTATAGAACGAATTATTTGATGTATATCATGACGAGATAATCAATTTTTTAGGGAATTAAGACAAATTTGTAATTTTGCCTTTAAAAGTGATGCCTACAATTTTTTGCATGGTTTTTTCTTTTTTTTTACTTTCTTAAACAAAAAGAAAATTTATTAAATGACTTTTTTTTAGCTATAATATATTATAGTTTATCAAATCAAAATTTTTGAAAATATAAATAATATGATCAGATTTGCACTGTTAGATGATTAGATGTGGATAAAGTTATTGTTCGTATGGGATTAGATGATGGTTGAGATTGCTTGAAAGTTGTAATGAATATTTTTAGCATGGAAACAGGTGTTGACTGTCAAGAGTTCAAGAATACTGGTGTTAATTAAATTTTTGTATTGGCTTTCGTCAAAAGTGTTACTGAAAACCATGCAAATAATGCTCAAAACTTTAAAATTCTACTTAGCAGATCCTTTGTTGTTAGACATAAATGCAGGCAATTTAGTCAGGTTTGTTCAGCAAATTAGTCAGGTCATGGATTAAATACTTTTGTTCATATCGTGACAGTGAAAAGTCAAATCTGGGAGAAAGAAGACCTTTCAATAAGTTAAAGTTGCTTTATGAAAGCTTTTCTAAAAATGGATTTTAAAATGTTTTTCTAAATCTACAAAAATGTTATACACTCATGTCTACTTGATGTAGCGTTAAAAATGTAGTTGGTGTAATTCCTCCACCAGAACTTCATTTGCTGATAAAGATTGTGACAGTGGTTTCAAATATATTGTGCAAGAAATCTTTTATCGATGTCTCACTAAGTAACCATAGGATTATTTGGCATAGATATAATTAGTTGTTAGAAATGCAAGCAAAGTACGGAAGCTTCTGCTCCTCAATTTAACATTATAACTTAATATAATATGAAATTATTACATAATTTAAACGTTAAACTTTTATAAACATTTTCAAGTAATAGACGCACTAACGTAGACGTACCAACTATTTCGTTTTAAGTTTTTACTTTGATTTATGAAACTGAAATTTATATAAAGATTAATTTCAACAAAAATCTTTTGATTGGATAGAAAAATTATTTTTTAAACACTACCTTCTTGTTTTTTTTAAACAAAATTGAAGACCTTGGAATGAAAACCTCAAATGTCCACTTTTATGCAAATTGGATTTATGTTATTTTTTTGCCTTATGTTTTTGCCTTTATATTATGTTATTTGGTTGCCTATATTTAAGTCCATGTAATGACCCTTGTTAAATGTTTCTTTAAAAAATATGTCCTTCAAATTGACTGTCAAAAAAAAGTACTTTTGAAAAACATCAATAGTTTAAATGCTCTTCTGAAAAAAAAAATCGTTTTTGACATTTGAGGTTTTCATTCCAAGTTCTTCAATTCTGAAGAATTTCTACTTTGAAATGAGTGTGACAAATAACTTACGAAACAACCATAAAAATTGTGCTGCATTATTCTCTAGGAAAATAACCTAGTATTGCAGCTGTTGTAGCTTTGTCAAGTATTGCTAATGCAAAATGAATATTTTGTTTATTGTTTCCAGGGTAACCTAATAAAGTTATTATACTTAAAAATACTTGATTGTCAGTTTTATTGTTTGTTTGTTTGTTTATGTTAGATTGTTACATTTTTATTTTATTAATACTTTATAAACTTTTTTCATCATTTTCATTTTACAGAGTTCAACTGCATTTACATTGACTTTGAAAATGCATTAAAATTGGAAGAATGATAATCAAATAAAATGGCATGCTTGATGATTTATCAAAATATAGTTTATAATAAACATCAACACCATGAGGTTTCTTAACTGTAAACCTTTGTGGATCTCTTCCCAAACATTTCAAACATGGCCGATGACACGGTTTTTGAAGTGGAGGGTCCAATCCTTTATATGCATAATTTTCTCTCTCTCTCTCAAAAAAAGGGTCCTTTAGAAAAAAAGTGGGGCGAGGGGGAGGGGGAGGGGCACGTGTCCCCATCCTCCCACGTTGTCGGCTCTGTCAAAAATAATTTTTTTAAATATCTATTGTCCTGCCAAATCATTTTCTAGTGTTGGCCATTAGACCAATTTTATTTGTAACAACACATTTATTAACCATATCTAGACAACTTGAAATTAAATGCAAAAAAAAATCTGTTGAAAAATGATCTAAACTACATAGTTGACAATCGTTCCGACTTGATTTGATAGCGCTGATAAAATTTTTGCTTCTATAAAATAACGTAGGTCTCGCGGCTACAGGCTCTTAGTCTATTACTATTTGGCTGTACTACATATCCATGAATCTTTTGCGTGATTCATTACTTTAATATAAATTTTGTAGTCGGACACTATTTGTTCACTGAAGGAAAATGACTTAATAAAGTTTAATTTTTTATATCAACTTGCTAAACATCGCATAGAATTAAAATTCTACTCGAAAATAAAAAGTTTTGATTGCATGTTTTTTTTTAATTCACACTTTCTTGGAAGTATTTCATAAGATTTATCTTTTTAAAGTGACAATAATTGCCATGGTAAGAATAATGCATCTTTTAAAAAAGCTGTTACTGACTATTCATTTTTGTTTTTGTTGTCAAAAGGATTTTTTTTTATCAAAAGGATTGTCGATAAGATTCAAAATATAAATAGCAAAGAAGTAGTGGATCTGAAACCCAACCTCGCAATATTCCCCAAATAAATTACAAAAAAAAAAAAAAAAAAAAAAAAAACATACGATTTAAATCTTATTCGTCTTATACACAAAAAATTTGATGTTTTTAGTGACAATATGATATTTTTATTTTATATAAATATCTGATTTGATATAGAGAAATAATATCACTACAGCTGAAAATACATTAAAGCTAGGGCGTACACCACCACTTATAACTCTTTTAAATATGTAAAACGCTAATGTTGGTGCAATTTGAATGTAATTATCACAAGCTCAACATTTTTCTTTCTCCAGTTTAAATTTTAAACTTTTTTCCAATCAAGTGCGCCATATTTGTACAACCAAATTACATTTACATTACAAGTATAACCAAAGTACATTTACATTTGAACTTTTTAATTCTTATGATTTTCTATCTAAAAAATTAATCAATATATTTCTGAAATAAATTGATTAAAATAAATTTTATTATTATAATAATAAATATTACAATAATAACAAGAACAATAACAACAACAATAGTTGCAACAATAACAGCAATAGTTGCTACAACAACAACAATAGTTGCAACAATAACAACAAGTTATTAATTATATTACTTAGTTTACTTTAATATTTTAGTAAAATTTTTAATATAAATAAAAAAAAATCTATTACAAACTTTTAATATTGAAAACTATTTGCAAAACCAAAAAAATTATATCTTAGAAACTCAAATTTAAAGTGTTTTTATGATTTTATCTTATTAACAATGATTATTTCAAATGAGCTTGAAATTATTCTTTAAATAAGTACCTTTTAATGTTTTTTTTTTCTTTTAAATACACAAACATAAAGTAAAAATTTTGTTAATACTTTTGCAGTATAAATACATTAGCATGTATTTAGAATACTTCACGTAATGAATTTGTAGGTAGCAAGTCTGAAATGAGCTGTATTAATGGAATAGGTTGGGAGGAAAATGATTCACCATACTGCGTACCTATATGTGGCAAACCACAACATAAATCGATTAGAAACTCCATTAAACGAGCCAGACTTCTTGGTGGTTTACCTTCCGTTGCACATAGCTGGCCATGGCAAGTTGCTATAGAGGTATTTTATATTTCTTTATGTTATATATATATATATATATATATATATATATATATATATATATATATATATATATATATATATATATATATATATATATATATTTAAAATTCATTTTGATAATATAAGATTTTATACTTAAGATTAAAGATATTAGATTTAACTCAAAAGAAAAACTAATAAACAACAAAATTATCATTTTTAAACAGACTTTAAATTTTCAAGGATAATAAATATAGCAGTAATAGTAAAAATGGCTCCTAAACAAAAATGATTGAACCGTGTAATCATTAATAATTTAAAATAAATATGCTCCAACTCTTGATCTTTAAACAATGTCCTATTACAGCCTAAATGTAACACATAAAATGAACATATTTAACTAGAGTATTTCATAATTACAAACCTTTGTTCATAGTTATGTAACTACGTACTGCGTACTTACAAAAGAAGTAAAAAAAATTAAAAAAATAAATAAAACTAAGGTTAAATAGCTAGATTAAAAAAAAAAAAATTATAAAAGGTTAAATAACTAAATTGAAAAAAATAATAATAATAAAATAAGGTTAAATAACTAGATTAAAAAAGGATAAGATAAAATAAAAAATAAAAAAACAGCAAAGATAAAATAAAATAGCTAAAAAAAAAGCAAACAGCAAAATTGAAACAACTAAAATAAAATTGAACATTCTGATTTTAAAATTATTTTTATTTATAATGAATCTAATTTAGGTTCAAACGCGAAAATTTGGTTGGAAACTTTATTGTGGTGGAAGTCTGCTTCATGATAAGTGGATTGTAACTGCAGGGCATTGTTTATTTGATGAGGACACTAGAAGGCGTTATAAAAAAACTGAGCTTCAAGTTTTTCTTGGTATTCATAATATTTCTAAAAGATATGAAGATCCTGACCTTATTTTTAGTGTTGAATATACAGCAGTTCATCCGAAATTTAATTTTGATTCTTTGGAAAACGATATTGGTTTGATTGAGTTAAAAGAAAAGGCTAAACTATCAGGTAATAATTTGCATGCATGTAAACAGACCTCAAATGCTGCAAAAACTGTTTGAAATTTATTTTTTGATAATATAATATAAGTGATAAAACACTACTGAAAAAATTTGACATAGGTATAAATAATAGTAAAATCAGTGGAGAAGTGTGTAATTTGATGTATACAGAGTGCCAATTTCTGTTTATATTTTTTTTTACTCTGCTTGTTACAATAGAAATTTACAGTTAATATATTCAGGGGCGGATGCAGCATTTTTTGATGTTTGAGATACCTAATTTCCAGACATGGAGCAAACTCCAAAAATTTATATGTTTATACTTATATCAAATAAGGATTCTTTACAAAAAATTGCAATAATTGGAACCTGGGAACAAAAAAGCCATAAAATTTAAGCTACAACTGCCCCAAACGTGAGAGCAACAAGTTGATAAAATAATTTTTATACTATTCTTAACTAAATCTATATTCATCAACAAATTTTAAAATCTACACAAAAATCTTTTAGCGTTCAAAAACTATGACAATAAAAAGTTTTAACCCTCCTCAATTTGAGGGGGTTGCAAATTTTATAAGGCCATAACTGTTGAACGCTAATAAATTATTGTGTGAGTTTTAAAATTTATCGATGAATATAAATATTTTATCAACTTGTTGCTTTCATGTTTGGAGCAGGTGTAGGTAAAATTTTAGGGCTTTTTTGTTCCCAGGCTCCAATCATTACAATTTCTTGCAAAGCATCCTTATTTGACATAGGTATAAATGTTTGGAGTTTGCTCCATGTCCAGAAGTTATCTCAACGATCAAGAAATGCTGGATTCGCCCCTAATATTTTAAAGCAAAAAGTTATAAGGTCAACTTTGCCTTTCCAGTGTTTCTTTAATTATAATTTGTCTTTGAGTCTAATATTAATATCTTTTTAAAAAATATAAAGATTTTAAATTTTATTTTAACTATCTTAACAAAACCTGTTAAGTAATTTCGTTAAAAGCTATGTAATTACTTAAACTTAAACAAATATTTTAAATAAAATCTGTCTAAATATTTCAATAAAAACCTGTCGAAGTGTTTCAATAAAAACCTAAGATCTAGTAAGATATCTAAATATTTTACTAGATCTTTTTTTTTATTAATAATTTTTTTAATTTCAATTACATACTCCCTTCGTTTCGAAATACTGTTCGAATTTGCATTCAACGTAAAGAATTATTGAAAATAAATCACTCCATTACAAAATTACTCAATTACAAAAAATTTTATTCAAAAAACAACTTTTTAAAAAAAGAATGGTTTAACGGTAGTAAGCTATATTATCGGCATAAAAATGTTTATTATATTATATAAAAATGTCTAAATTTTATGTAAAAAAATTTTAAAAAATTACCACCAGATTATTTTCAATAATTCTTTAAATTGAATGCAAATCCGAACAGTATTTCGGAACGGAGGAGTGAACAGTATTTGGGAACGGAGGAGGGAACAGTATTTCGGAACGAAGGAGGGAGTATTTTATTAATCTATATTTGAAAATTTTATTTAAACTAACTTTAGTCGTGCCTAGTTTGACATTATTTAAACTAGATGTTTAATTGTTTATTTTTAAATCAAACACTATTTAGTTTAATCAGGCATGTTTAGTTAACTATGGCGAATTTTTAATCAAGTTTAAAATCTTAACTTTTATTAGTTAAGCTATGTGAACCGTAGTGTAACGAGTAAATAAATAAAGGTTTTTTCTAAATACTTTTATTTAAAAAATAAAAAATAAATACCGGGTAAATGACATGTTGGCATAAAAAAGTCATTTTTTCTGAAAGTATTTTTGTGTATTGTTTTAGAATATTTTCTTATACCAGATTGATATTTAATATTTATTAGTAATTCATAAATAAACAAACAAAAAAATAATAATAAAAAGAACTTTACTTTTAACGAAATTGTTTAGGAAATTTTTGTATTTACTTAGGTATTTCAAAATTAAAAATATCACTATTTTTACAAAATCTGGTTTTATAACGTTATTTTATAAAAAAAAAAAATTTTACAAAATTACTATAATCTTCTGCTATTTTAAAATTTGCAATTTTTCACAGCCGGAAATAAAGCTATTTATTTATAAGCTGTGAAATATTTATTGAAAGCAGTGCAATATTTATTTAAAGCAATACAACATTTATTGAAATCAGTGCAATATTTATTTAAAGCAGTGCAATATGTGTTCAAAGCAATACAATATTTGTTGAACGCATTTATCAAAAACAAAAAGATCTTGAGTTAGGGATCGTCCATAAATTACGTCATGCAATTTTCGACCATTTTTGACCCCCTCCTTGGTCACAACATCGTAAAATTTTAGTAATAAGTCTTAAATTGTCACAACACCACTAACCCCCTTCCGCCTAGAGCGTGACGTAATTTATGGACGACTCCTTATTCTCGAGTATTTTATACAAGTGGAGGGGGCGCTTAATGATTTTTGGAAAACATTCCCACTTATCCTAAGCTTATTAAGACCGCGGCCCCGTTTATTAATTTTTACTTGTTAACGACAAATAATTAATATCTCAAAACTAAAAAAAAAAAATTTGTTTTCATTAAATCTTGACTAAAATTTCAAAATCTTAGAGTCCTTTATAGAATACAAGTGATATTTATCATTATTTGTTATTATTTGATAATTAATGTGACATTGATTTAATTTTAATTGAAGAACGATTTTCCGAAAATCACATTTTTATTGTTTTAAGAAATATAAAAAAAAAAACAAATTATCCGGCGAAAATTTTTGATTTTAAATAATTTTGTAATTATAAATAAAGATAATGAATTTTATTCAAACTAATAAATAAAGATAATGAACAATTTTTTATTCAAACTAACATAGCTAAACTTACACCTTTTTCAAAGCATATTTCAAAAACATATGTTTGTAACGTTTGTTACAAATATATATGCAAAACAAGCGTCGTTTATCGCACAAAACTTATTAATATATATGATATATTCCATTTTCGAATTTTTTGGGTTTTTACTCTAATTATCTAATTATTTATTAATTTTCTTACAAACTTTTCTAATAAACTTATTTAACAAAAAATCAACTAACTTATTTATTAAAAATTTTGACAAAGAGTCATTAAAATTTTTACTGCTTACAAAAAATATTATATACTTTCTTATTGCAATAAAAAGCAAGAAGTTTAAGAATTATGACTATTAATTTTTGTCATAATTCTTAAGTTTTCCTCAAGTTAATAATTTTATTGAGATTCATCAATAAACTACTTTTTAGCAAAACATTTAACTGTGCATTATATTTTTTGTTACTTTGCTCAAATTGAGACAAATTTATATAATTCATTATATATAAAATATTCAACTCATTACATACCATAAAAACTATTACGCAATAAATTAGAAAAACGCACACTTTTATAAGTATTTACAGATTTAGGTCCACATAAAAGCACATCCAAAATCGGTGGAAATTTCAGGGCTAAAAACAAATAGTATGAAGATCTATATAAGTAAAAAATACATATATTTTTTATTATTCTTTGTTTTCTAAGAGATTCAAGTCTACGTTCTAAAATGCAAAAAGTATATCTAAATGCAGACTTAAATTTGGTTGACACTAGTAGATTTGCCTTCATGAAATTTAGTTAAATTGGCTATCTGATTTATAAAAAAAGTTTGCTCTTAAGAAAATTGTTATAGCATTTTTAAATATTTACATTTAGACAAAATTCTTCCAATTTGTCTTCCAACAAGCGAACAAAGATTTTTATCAAGAATCGGACAAATTGGAACCGTTATTGGTTGGGGCAAAACAACAAGTGGCGAACCGTCAGAACTACTGAAAGAGCTTAACATTCCGGTGGTTTCAAGAAATGATTGCATAAATGCATACAAAAATAAATATAATATAACGGAAAGTATGTTTTGCGCTGGTAATAAATTAACAAATGAAGACACTTGTAAAGGAGACAGTGGCGGAGGCTATATATTCCGAGATAGCCTTAAAAATAAGTGGACACTCCAAGGTATTGTTTCATGGGGATACACAACATGTGGAAATGCCGGAATGTTTAGCGTCTATACAAAAGTATACAACTTCACTACATGGATACGTTTAATTATTAACAGTAAACTTAGCACTTAAATTTGGAAAAGAATTTAACTGATAAAATAAAATAAGTAAAGTTTTGTTTTTCTTTTATTGTTATTATTACTATTATCATTGCAAACTCTACAAAGTTACGAAGGCGAGTAACATTGCCTTCTGAACGAACGTCTGCCTCTTTTAGAGACAATACTTTCGTCATCAGATTCGTTTTCATTTGTTACAGAAGAATGTTTACGTTTTCTGTATTCGCTAGTGCTGTTTCTTTTACGTGGTCGTCCTCGTTTTATTTTTGAATTTTCATCAAGAAACTTAGACGAATCTTTGTTCGAACCAAGAGCTACATTTCCGTCATTTAACTTTGAGTTTTTATTCAAAGATTCTATATTTTTTTGCAAAGAATCATCTATTTTAATGATAAGTTTGTTCGGTTTGCTATCCATATCTGCATCATTACTAGAAATCGAGTCTGTGTCGTTATCATGTTTTTTTGATTTAATAGTAATAACAATACTTCTATCTTGATTATCATCAACATCATTACTGGATATTGATTCCGTATCATCTAACATTTTGCGCGAACGCCTGTGTTTTTTTCTGCCTTCATTTCCCGAATCAGATTCACCTTCATCACGGTACTTCAATGGAACAATTCTTGTTCGAGAAGAACGCCGACGTAAGTTTTTTTCTTTTTCTTTTACATTTTTACTACTCATATCAATCGACATCATATTAAAAGTTTTATTTTCGCTGGAACTAGTAGCTACAGAAATTTTTGCATTTTCAACAAAACTATTAGATTCCGATTGATTGTTAGCTTTATAACTATCTGAAGCGTCATCTTTTCTGTTATCTAAAGTTAATTTGTTACTTGGTAAATTCGTAGAACAATTTATGGTAGTATCTATATGCCTATCAAGCCTATGTTTTCCTTCTTCTAAAATTCCATTTATTTGTTCATTAGTACTATTCTCCTCGTTGCATCTATTTATTTGTTTCTCATTATTAGTTACATTATTCACATCAACTTCAATTTCAACTTTATCGTTGAGTTCCATTTGAACTTCTTCTATTTCAGTTACCTCAGTTTCTTCTTTAAAAGTTGTGTCGGCAGTAGTTTGAGATTGTTTATCTTTATTTAAATATTTATCCACCTGCTTATCAATTATTAAACAAAAACTGTGTCCTTTTGCACTCAATACTTCATCCACTAAATGCTTGACACTGTTCAATATAACTTCGGATCTAAAATAAAAGTGTTTAGCAGTTGCAGTGTTTTATAAAATAATTCAAAGTTTAAAAAAAATTTTCAAATATCTTACATCAACTTTTATATATATATATATATATATATATATATATATATATATATATATATATATATATATATATATATATATATATATATATATATATATATATATATATATATATATATATATATATATATATATATATATATATATATATATATATATATATTAATTTGTTCGGTTTAAACTTAGTAATAATGTTCTTCATGTAAACAAACGCAAGACATGCGTATCGCATTACGCGCTCTACATGTTTTTTTTTAAAATAAGCAAATGATATTTTTTTAACATAATTTATGTTTTACATAAATATTATTTTTCTTTTCTACCATTTGTTAAACCAAAAATAAATTTCTGGTTTAACAAATTAAACAAATAAAATATAAGTATTATTATGAAAGGATCTCCATAAAAGAAAATAGACAAAAAATTTGTTATAACTCATTAATATAATTAGGTACGGATGCAGCATTTTTTTATGTTTGAGATACCTAACTTCCAGCCATGGAGCAAACTCCAAAAATTTATATGTTTATATTTATATCAAATAAGAATGCTTTGCATAAAATTGAGATGATAGGAACCTGGGAACAAAAAAGCCCAAAATTTTTGCTACACCTGCCCCAAACGTGAGAGCAACAAGTTGATAAAATAATTTTTATACTATTCTTAACTAAACCTATATTAATCAATAAATTTTAAAATTCACACAATAATCTTTTAGCATCAAAAACTATGGCCATAAAAAGTTTGAACCCCCCTCAGTTTGATGGGGTTGCAAATTTCATAAGGCCATAATTGTTGAACGCTAAGAGATTGTAGTGTGAGTTTTAAAATTTATCGATGAATATATACTTGGTTAAGAAAAGTATAAAAAATACTTTATCAACTTGTTGCTCTCACATTTGGGGCATGTTTAGCTAAAATTTTAGAACTTTTTTGTTTTCCCATGCTCCAATCATCGCAATTTTTTGCAAAGCGTCCTTATTTGATATAAGTATAAACATATAAATTTTTGGAGTTTGCTCCATGTCTGGAAGTTAGGTATCTCAAACATCAAAAAATGCCATATGCGCCTGATAATGTCTTTAAAAATATTTTAACTTGTTTTTCCATAATCATTCCATAATTAGTTCATTTGAATAAACGCCCATACTCACCTTGCAAAAGCTTTTGATGTAATTACACAATAAAGAAAGAATCTTTTTTATATGTAAATTAGGAGATAAGAGAAGACTTTCATCTAGTTCATCGTAATCTGCTATTTCATTAACGCTACTTAACAAGGTTTGGGTCTGCACAGAAGTAACTTATATTTACCGCAGATTGGTCACAATAAATATCGCACTTTACAAATAAATTTAGAACCCCATACCGTGTTTTAAAATTAAAACATATTTTAGACATAAAAAATATAAGGCTATACCTCTAGGCTGTGTCTAGGTTATACCTCTAGGGTGTGTCGATTTTTTTTTCCAATTTCAAAAACGGCAAGGTTATTTTTGGTGAAGAATTTTATGCAGATTCCGAATATGCAAAAAAAAAAAAAAAATTCAAAAAATAATGTCTTGCTGGGTCAGCATTATTTTGAACGGAAAAACTGACTAAAATATGACTAATTAACAGCAAAACTATAATTAAAAAAAAAATTTTTCTAAAATTTTTGATTAACTCAATAATAGTTATGCTGAATTTTAAGAAAATTGATTATTTGGGTCAAAAAGTCATAAAAATAAACACAAAAAAAGAGTTTTTGTGAAGTGTATTTTTACAAAAACCAAGCACTTTTTTCATATTTTAGACAAAGAATGTTACAGTAAAGTGTTGTTTTTTTCCTTTTTTTATCAAACTTTAAAAGTAAGGCGAGTTCATTTTTGAGGGGAATTTTATGGGGAATCTGAATCTGAAAAAAAAAAAAAAAAAAAAAAAAAAGGTTTTGTTGGGGAAAACGCTTAGTTTTCAACGAGAAAATGACTTAATTATAAATAATTAGAGAGAAAAAATTACAAATTTAAGACAAAACAAAAATTTCAATTATTTGATAAACTCATAATTAACTATGTTGAACTTTATGACAATATCATACTTTGTTAAAAAATCAAAAAAATAAACATATAATGGGGGCTTTTGTGAAGATTGTTTTTAGAAAAATTAGTCGATTTTTTCATATTTTAGACAGTGAATGTTATCTTATTGAAGGGTGCACCGTGTTTTCTAAAACTAATAATAAGTCAAACACTTTTGTTATAACAAACAGTATATTATATACTAATACATTTTATAATACTGATATCTTTATTAAAATTTACATGTAATTAACAATTAATAGTTTATACATTTTATTTAAAATTTGTGAGTCCAACACAGATCTTATTACTGTTACAATACAGAATTGTAACAGCGATAAGACCTAGAGTGTTACCTGAAATCAATCAGATCTAGAGTGTTACCTGAAATCAATCAGATCTAGAGAGCTACCTGAAAATTTAATAAACCTTGAAAAAGGTCCTGTTTCTCATTCCAGATGGCTCACTACAGCCAACCATTTTTGTAGATTGTGGGTTTCAGTTCATTTTCTAACAGAAAAAAACCTTAGAAATCTACATTTAACAATTGAATTTATAGTTAGTGTGTATTTTCCTTGGTTTCAAACAAAGCTAAAACATTCCTTGTTAGATGGACCTCGGCATATTTTATTCTAATTGAAACAACTAAAATATCAACAAGCAAAAAAAAAAAAGAAAAAAAAAGAGGCTGTTGCAATATAATAAAAACTGTAAAGAGATCTTCATGGTTTACATTTAATAAATGTATTATTCAGACTCTTTTGTGTTCCAAAGATGAAGAAGAATGAAAGTTAGGAGTGCAAAAGGTGCTAGAGATTAGAAAGAAAGGAGATAATAATACTCAGTTCGAAGATTTTTTAGTAAAAATTCGCAAAACCCCATGCATAAATACTAATACTGATAAATTGACTAATCTAATTGAGTGGAGATTCAATATACGAACCACTACTTCGAAAATATTTTCACAAGCCTATGGTTGTTCCAGATTGGCCATGCCATTCCCAATCCATCAAACGTTGCGTTAAACAGGTTTCTTTTTTATACAATTACAAGAATTTAATAACTTATTTAAAAAATTTTTTAATGACTAAATTGTTTTAATATATGTTACAGAGGCTTTTGCAAAAATATATTCCCATGAGAAGCACGTGGGATATAAAAGAACACAAGAAATCAATATTTTATGAACACAAAAAGTGCTAAAAAATAAAATAATATTTTATTTTTTTATTTTTTTTAGATTCAGATTCCCCATAAAATTCCCCTTCAAAATGAACTCGCCTTACTTTTTTAAGTCTGATAAAAATAGCAAAAAAACAACACTCTTTACCATAACATTCTTTGTCTAAATTATGAAAAAAGTGCCTGATTTTTGTAAAAATATCCTTCACAGAAACTCCTTTTCTGCGTTTATTTTTATGAATTTTTGTTTGTGAAGTTTGTGACGTTTAGGGAAACATTTATAAATTATACTAAAAAATGTTTTTGCTATGTTTATTCACATTTAGTGAATAAAGTGGCTTTAACCAGATAATGTTTTTTATTCGAGATTTTGTACTTTATTTTTAAATATTTAGAATGAAATTGATCTTATCTTTGAATCCACAAGAATTGAGAGTGTTATTATAAAATTGTGCGGCTTTATAAAAAGCTTCTTTGCATGAAATTTATTACTGATGCGATTAGTGATCACTTTTGGTATTGATTTAATGTTTAATGGATGATTGGAATTGATGTTAATATAAAAAGAATTATCTCCTAGTTTTCTATAAGGTTTAAAAAGTTCTCAGAAAGGTTAAATGTGATACCAAGAAAATTTACAGTTTTTAAGTTTGGTCTGATAGTAATGTTAAGATTAAAACTGTCTTTAAAATTTTTATTAGATATTTTTTATTCTTTCCAATTGAGAATTTATTTCCATAGAAGCCAACTAATTCGCATAACTTGGCTCGATCAAATACCCATGGTATCTTTCATCAAAGCCAACACTCCATAGCATTTTTTGTATACAATTTTTTTGTTGTTACATCTGATGACTATTGCGTGAAACTTTTAGTTATATAAATGAAATATATCTTTATAATTATTTAGTTTTCACTCTCTCTCTTTCTCTTTCTCTCTCTCTCTCTCTCTCTCTCTCTCTCTCTCTCTCTCTCTCTCTCTACATATATATATATATATATATATATATATATATATATATATATATATATATATATATATATATATCAGTATATCAGGGGCTATTCTAGACCTTTGTTCGACAGGGTCAAGAACTTTTTTTTTTTTTTTTAATTACATTTTTTACTGCAAATACTTTTTTTTTTTTTGCCAAAAAAAACAATATTTGCTTAATTTCACTGGGACGCAGAAATTTAGCAGAAAATTGTTTTTACATAATTGTCTTCTATAGTTCCTTTTTTCAAAGTACAGTCAAGATTTCACCCTTCTAACAAACTCTTGTATGCATTCCATATCAAATTCAGTTAAACACTTTTTTATTCTCCTTCTGAGTTGATTAGTATCTGAAGCCCACCAGCTATTGCCATACACTTTCTTTTTTAATTGAGACCAGAAGTCCGCAATAGGTCTACATTAAGTTTTTAAAACATAAAGGGGCAGATAAAGCAAATAGATGCAACTTAACAAATGACTTACTAGAGCTGATAGCTCCTTTGAGCAGCAACCATGATAGTATTTGTAGAAAAAAAAAGAGATGCAACCTTACAATGATGGAAAAGTAGCTCAAGCTTGGTAAACAGACCAGATCCAACTACCTTTACAATGCGTTTTTGTCTAGAATAGAAAGAGTAGGGGAAAACGGGAAACATTTGACCTTTTCAAATATTTCCCAACATGATAAAAA